ATAAATGATCACCGTGACGAGCTGAGTTGATTTAGCCATGTTCGTCTGTCTGTCCGTCCGTCCATCTGTCCGTCTGTATATACGCGAACTAGTCCCTCAGTTTTTGAGATATCGATCTGAAATTTTGAACACTTCTTTTTCTCCCCAAGAAGCTGCGGAACGGCCGATATCGGACCACTATAGCATATAGCTGCCATACAAACTGAACAATCGGAATCAAGTGTTTGTATGGGAAACTCTTTCATTTGACGAGGTGTCTTCACGAAATTTGGCACGGATTATTAGTTGAGGCAACAATGTAATCTCGGAAGAAATTATTCAGATCGGATGACTATAGCATATAGCTGCCATACAAACTGAACAATCGGAATGAAGTGCTTGTATGGAAAACTCTTTCATTTGACGAGGTATCTTCACGAAATTTGGCATGTATTATTATTTAAAGCATTAATCTAATCTCCGAAGAAATTGTATGGATCGGATGACTATAAAACGGATTTTGGAACAAAGTTAAAAATAATATGCTACCTCACGCATATGTTCTAATAATTTTTAAATAAAAATTATAAGTATTAGCATTTTACATACTATGTGTTTGATAAAATGATTAAATTTAAACGCCGAAATTAAAAAACAAGTAGGGAAGGGCTAAGTTCGGATGTAACCGAACATTTTATACTCTCGCAAAGTCAAATGGTATACTCGTTTGAGATTTCTTTGTGGATTGACTGATATTTTCGTTCCACATATTTAGTACTTAGGGGCTTGAACAGTTTTGGTTCGATTTAGACAATTTTTGGTCACAAGGTGGCATAACGCATTATTCACGCAAAGTTTTACTCGGATACAATCATTGTTACCTGATTTGCATAGTGGAAAGTGAAAGAATCAAATAGAATTTAAAATGGTGTTATATGTCAAATAGGCGTTATTGTAATCCGATTTCGCCTATTTTCGCATTATAACATAGAAATATGAGAAGAATGTTATGTACCGAATTTGGTTGAAATTGGTTAAGCAGATCTCAAGATATGGGCTTTCACCAAAGTCATCTCATACCATCCCAGAGACAAAATTTATTGTCTCTGGCGTGTTTAGTGATTGATTTATCGCGCTTTTAGTAGTTTTTAACAGTACCGTTATATGAGTAGTGGGCGGAGTTGCCACCCGATTTCAACTATTTTCTCACTGTAGGTAGAGATTCTGAAAACATTTGCTTTCAGTGAATTTTTTTTATTATAGCATTAGCGGTTTAGGAGATATGCACATTAAACCTATTGGGGGCGGGACCACGCCCTCTTTAAACAAATTTTTTAACTGCAGATGCCCCTCCCTAATGTGATCCTGTGTACCAAATAATAGTCTTGTATCTTATTGCAATAAATGTGCATTTATTTGTTTTTGATTAATGGCGTTTCAATTTTTACTCAAGTTAGAGCGTGCACGGACGGACGGACGGACAGACAGTCACCCGGATTTCAACTCGTCTCTTCATCCTGATCATTTATATATACATAACCCTATATCTAACTTGATTAGTTTTAGGTGATACAAACAACCGTTAGGTGAACAAAACTATTATACTCTGTAGCAAGAGGTTGCGAGAGTATAAAAATGGTGCCAACTGTATACCACAAAAACTTCTCACGTATTCCTTTTATAGTTAAAACTCAACGAGAGTGTATTCCTTGTGGTGCTCATCATTACCATTTAAAGAAAATGGACAAAATCAAGCGCTAGTTTAACGGTTTCATACGACATTAAAATTTACATTCTTGAATATGTAAATCCACCACTATCTCTTTCATTTGATTCTATTCCACGTAGCCACAGCCATACACATGTACTTTCTCATTTCCATTTTATTTAGCTATAACTTAGCGTAAACATTTCTGCTTTTTCGCTGCCTCACGCCCGCATCGAACTTCGTTTATTTCTCATGAGTAACTAGTTAACAATATCTATATGTGCTCTATTACTGTGGCCAATATGCGTTAGTTGCTCATACGCCATGGTGCGCCACCACATATACAATTTTATTAGAGTTCCGACTACAGTTTTCTCCCTTTTGCAGCGCTGAGTGCAGCATATTTGCTTAAACTTTAGACTATTTTGATAAAATTAACAGCCATAAATTGTAATATCTCTGCGTTCTGGTTGGAAAAGTTAAAATAAGTAGAGAATTACTGCTGTTACTTATCGATAATGCTCTTGTTTTCGATAGGAAATAGTTATTTACATTAGTTTATGGCTAGCTGCACGTGTTCTTGATTCTATTAATTTATTGCTGGTATCTTTCTGAATAGCGGTTCTCTTAGTCTTACACGAATAATGTCTACGCGCGAAATATGTATATTATAAAAGTAGCAAATATATATTAGCGTTGAAACTATTGGAATATTTACAGTCATTAATTTAAATTTACAATTTGTAATTAAAAAAATATAAATGATTTAATAATAAAATTGAGATTTAATGAATTAAAGTTTTTTATATCCTGAACAGGTTATATTAAGTTTGCCACGATGTTTGTAATACCCAAAAGGAAACGTCGAAGACCTTATATAATATATATATAAATGATTAGCGTAACGAGCTGAGTCGATTAAGCCTTGTCCGTCTGTATATACGCAAACTTGAAGTACTTGAAGTTTGCACACGTGTTTTTCTCGACAACAAGCTGTTCACTGGTCGGAATCGCCGATATCGGACCACTGTAGCATGTAGCTGCCATACAAACTGAACGATCGGAATCAAGTGCTTGGAAAACTGTATGGAGAAACTTTTTCATTTGACATGATACTTGTATATCTACGAAATTTGGCATGTTTTGTTGCTCAAACCACGGTGCATTCTTCAAAGATGCTCTGATCGGACCCCTATAGCATATTGCTGCCATACAAACTGAACGATCGTAATCAAGTTCGTAATAATATACCAAAGATAACAGGCAATATCCCGTCAGAATTCCCCTTGGACGGAAATGACGAACTGCAAAGCATGATACCGCTGTACTATACCAACTCACTTTTCGGTACCTCAAGCATATATTCTTAAATAACAACCTTCCAAATAAAAAAAAATAGGTCGATTGCTCACACAGAAAAAAAGTGATTCATGAGGCATTGTGTATTTGACGAGATGTCATTACAAAATGTGGTATATATAACTTTTTAAGGCAACTCTGCAATACCTGAAGAATCTTTCTAGATCGGACTACTATATTATACAGCTGTTATACAAACTGAACGATCAAAATCAAATTCTTGTATGGAAATTTCGTTATTTGTGAAGGGTATTCCAGCTTTTTTTTCCTGTTTTTTATTTTTAATTTTTCAGAAGAATAAAAATACTTATTATACCTATTAGTCGCAGCAAATTGTAGGTCGCTTATAAATTCTTTTCTTATTTATGGTTGTCATTTGTCAATAGATTTCATGCTTATTTATAAATTCTGCAGATTTGCTTTTTACTATATTTTTTACATTTCTGGGTAAATGAATAAAATAAAATGCATTTTAAAATACCACAATTCAATTTTTGACTAATTATTTTTAACATAAAATAGGCTTGGCATGCTACTGGAACTTAAAAATGATTTTACATTCGTGTCAAGAAATGTTGAATCATTTCAATTAATATGTTGTAATATGTAAGGCTAATACTATTACATATAAGACTAAAGCTGTTTAGTTTATAAATTTTTACCATAAAGCATCAGTTATATTTGGAAATCTGGAACCTGAAATCGTTATGATCAGAAGTCTAAAGAACTAATGGGAACTAATCGAGTTAGATATAGGCTTATGTATATATAAACGATCAGGATGAAGAGACGAGTTGAAATCCGGGTGACTCTATCCGTCCGTCCGTCCGTCTGTGCAAGCTGTAACTTGAGTAAAAATGGAGATATCTTTATGAAACTTGGTAGACTTGTTTCCTGGTACCGTGAGACGGTTGGTATTGCAGATGGGCATAATCGGATCACTGCCACGCCCACAAAACGCCATTTATCCAAAACAAATAAATGCAAATTTATTGCAATAAGATACAAGACTGTTATTTGGTAAACAGGATCACATTAGGGAGGGGCATCTGCAGTTAAAATTTTTTTGTAAAGTGGGGGTGGTCCCGCCCCTAATAGGTTTAATGTGCATATCTCCTAGACCGCTAATGCTATAATAACAAAATTCACTGGAAGCAATGTTTTTAGAACCTCTACCTACAGTGTGAAAGTAGTTGAAATCGGGTGGCAACTCCGCCCACTCCCCATAAAACGGTACTGTTAAAAACTACTAAAAGCGCGATAAATCAAGCACTAAACACGGCAGAGACATTAAATTTTATCTCTGGAATGGTATGAGATGACTTTATAGGAAGCGCGTTCAAAATTAGACAGCGGGCGTGGCACAGCCCACTTTTAGGGGAAACCCCATATCTTGAGATCTGCTTAACTACTTTCAACCAAATTCGGTACATAACATTATTTTCATATCTCTATGTCATAGTGCGAAAATGGGCGAAATCGGATTACAACAACGCCTACTTCCCATATACCACCATTTTAAATTCCATTTGATTCTTTCACTTTCCACTATGTATATCAAGGAACAATGATTATATCGGGGTAAAACTTTGCGTGAATAATACGTTTAAAGTATGCCACCTTGTCACCAAAAATTGTCTAAATCGAACCAAAACTGTTCAAGCCCCTAAGTACTAAATATGTGGACCCCAGTGCCTATAGTTGACCTTCTACCGAAAATATCAGCCAATCCACAAATAAATCTCAAACGAGTATACCATTTGACTTTGCGAGAGTATAAAATGTTCGGTTACATCCGAACTTAGCCCTTTCTTACTTGTTTATATATTAGTTTTTTATTAAAAAAATACCAAGTTTGGTTTCATACATTTTAGATCCCATGTAAATAGAGTTGCCTTCTGTATTAAATTTTTTCCAGAAAAATTCTAATTTTGTTATATTTTTTGCCTTATAGCTCATCATTAGCTTCACCTTCAAGAAATGCCAATCATATCCTTTAAAGCGATCCCAGGGACTGAGTAAATAAAATTTCAGTTGCACACAAAAAGCACAAAACATTATAAGAAATATTGAAAGTTGAGCAAAACGCAGAAAGCTACGCATAAAATCGCACAAAAAACCCTCAAAGGCACAAACAGTATCGGCCAGCCTACTTGTGTATTGGCAAGTTGTGGTAGTTGGCTTTGTCTGCGCTGGCTATTCGCAAGGAAATTAAATGACGCCAATCGTTACAGCAACAACAACAACAATAACAAAGCAAACATATCCAGCCGTTGAAACACCACTTTCCGCTGGACACAGCCACACACAAATGTGTCGAGAACGAGGCGGTCTAGCACAAATTACAGTAAATAAAATATCAACACCAACTACGGCATTACTGCGCTTTTGGAATTAGTTAGTGTAAAAGAAAGACGGAAAGTGCGTGTTTAGGTCGCGTGGTCAGTAAGCGACAGGAAGTCCGCTTGTGTGTGTGAGTTTTGATGTGGAACACACTCAAGACGCCTAGCAACAGAGATTTTTGGTCAAACTCCAAAACTTGCTGAGCACGCTCGCCAAGCGAACGGTACGTAGACACAACAACCGGAAACGGAAACATAAGTGCAAACGACAGGCAGCAAAAACATTTGGCAATTTGATCCGCCGGACACGCATTCAATCTATGAGCACCGTTAGTTGGCTTTCTGACAGCGCTGAGCACATATTTACCATTCAGCTACACTAAGTGTGTGTATGCTTATATACTTCGTGCATATCTGTATATGGCACCATTAGTGAAGGCGTCAAACTACCAATAACTGGTGCGCAGCGTCGTAATAAACACTTTATTCAAAACATAAAAGACACGGTGTTGCCAAGCGGCAAACGGTGTCATTTGGTGCGAGTAAATAATATTGCTACGCTTTTATTATACAGTCAAGAAACACACACATACTAAAGCGCACGTGTTAACAGCATTAAAAGCGACAGAAGCCATAGTTTGCGGCCGAGTAAGTGCCGGACAATTAACTCCACCGCCCAGTCATTGCTTGAGGCGGCACGACACGTGCAAGCCGCCGCTAAATATCCAGCAGTGTAGAGATTTTTTTCCAGCCGGCCCAAGGAGACAATAAAAAACCGCCAACCTGGAACTAATGGAATTAGAGAATATTGTGGCCAATACGGTCTACTTGAAAGCTAGAGAAGGTAAGTGTCGGCCTACAAGTATATTTAGTATAACGAAGAACATAAACATATGTATATTCCGTAATATGAATTTCTTTACTTAAGAAACTGTGCAGAAATTTCGCTCTGAATATTTTTGTGGAGAGATATACTTTTTATTCAAATAATATACAGTCTTAGAAATATGTCATACAGTGTGAAAATATCAATTTAAAAAAACAATTTTTGCTCAAAAAGTTTTTATCTAGGGCTGCTGATGTATTAAACATGTCTAAAAAAGGAAGAAATGAATATAAGTAAACCTTGGTGGTACCCAAGGCTAAATACCCTTCACAAATAAACAAGTTTCCTTACAAGAACTTGATGGTATGAACAACATTTTCGGAGATTGGACCGTTGCCTTAGACAATAACCCATGACAAACTTCGTGGGCATATCTCGTCAAATAAAAATTTTTCCATCTAAGACCTTGCTTCTGATCGTTCAGTTCGAATGACAGCTATTTGCTATAAAGATCCGTTGTGAACAACTTTTTCGAAGATTGTACTGTGGCCTTATCATATCACATAAACAAATTTTCCTTACAAGAATTTGAGGATTGAGAAATTAGTTCGCGCATATACAGTCGGACGGACAGACGAACATGGCTAAATCGACTCAGCTCGCCACGCTGGTCATTATATGGTATGTTTCCTTCCGAGAAAAAAGTCGGTCAACGTCGTGTTATAATGCTCGCTATTGATGGTAACGGCATTTCCTATCTCATTTCGAAAGAATGATGCGATGATGCCGTCATACTACAATCCGTATCAAACAGTAAATTTTTGGGGATGCAATTACGTTTCTTAAACCACTCGATAATTTGACTCACTCCAATACCGACAATTTTGTTTGTTGACGAAGCTATTAAGCCAGAAATGGGCTTAAAATATGATTTTTCGATGAACGTGAAACTGTGAGTTTTTAGGAGAACGTGAAAATTCACCCAAATAAGTAATAATCTTGGACAATTTCCGAGCATTGAACCAAAGTGAAACGTGACATGATGAAATGGCAAACTTTACTCAACACACTGAAAAAATATGACACAATCCGTCAGCAAACATGGCTGCCTCGAGCTGTATGTACCTGCAAAATAAAAATTCCGGCTCATTAGAACGCTATTTCCTAAAACCCGCGCAGTTGTTCCAGTTTCGGTTTTATGTAGAATTTACAAATACCTTAATTAAAGAAAGTTTTAAAACGATATTTTGCGATAATCGAGATTCGAGATAGAAGACAAGTAAGATATCAAAAGTGCGACAACGAAGAAGAGAATGCTTCTCTCAGCATTCCACACAAATATTACATATTTGCATTAAATGATTTCGCACTGTAGTCGGCCATAAAAAGATATCTATCTTAATATAAAAAAAAAATCCGAAATTCAACTGTTCTTTTTTTACTTTAGTGTTGAAATCTACTTATCCGGCTGGCGAACTACTACTACTACTACTGGCAGCAATTTTGTATCCAATTGATATTTTTACCGAAACAAACCTAGGCTGAATCTCGTACATACTCACTGTGAAAATGGTATATATACCTTTCTCCTTAAATGGCATTATAAGCACTTCCTGTTCACATTGTACTCGTTTTTGCTCTGTTCTCTGTAATTAATCCTGCATGTGCGCATGTATCAGTAAATTAAGCAACATATTTGATTAAATACTGCCGATAAGAACAATCTCTTCTTCATCTACAAGCTATTAGTGCGCTTCAATGCACCGGCTCACGTATCCTTACCCTTGAACTCTTATGTGCCGTACGTATGTATGTGCGAGTACTGCAATTTATTTGCTTATTTTGCCGTGCCTCTATAATCAACAATTAATTATAATACACGCGCTAACAAGAAATAATTCATACTACTTAATTACAATTACTTAGAAGATTGTGCCTGTGATTTAAGGCAGTTCCTGACGACAGGCGAAGCCGTAAGAGTTGATAAGCAAAATAAATTGAGGATTAATTTACGCATGAACTACCTTACATGCAGTAGCCTGCTTATAATATGGATGTAGTTACAAAGTTACATATATACATAGATATAGTATGTAATCATAGGGAAAGGTCTTCAGTTTGGAATTACAGGAGCAATTCTATAGCAAGCTATATATGTACGAGCATATACATACATAGCTCGAGCTTACAATTTGGAACCCGATCCGCTTTGCAGCACCGTAAACTGTAACGTTTAGCCAGCTCTTGCTTAGAATTCTGAAAAAGGATCTCCTCTGACTAATTAACTTCGACACTACAAATGCTCATTCGAAAATGAGATAAAATCTATCCCGGAGTTAATTTAAACAATAATTTTTCAGACTCTGTGAGAACCAAAATCATTAATGTATTGTAGCCTAGAACATAATACTACTCACTTAACGCCATCAGCATTGTTTTTTAGAGAGAAATATATTACTTTTTTCCTTCGTCATTTCTGTCACCGATTTGTATGGTAAGGTTTTTATAGTGCTCACGAAGTCAGTGCTTGGCCGCGATCCCGGTTTGCCGAAGTTCCGCTGGAACTCCTTACCTAGATTTCAATTCAGCTAGCATTTTATTCGACTGAATAAGTACTGGCTGACAAAAAGCTTCGAAAAGTCCCATGAATTACTTTAGGCACGTGACATTCTGTTCAGTATCTTCTCTTGCCTGTGTCTTCACAATAATTTTGTCCTAACTAAAAAAATGTGTAGAGCTAGTACATAAAGCGTCAGCATCCATCATCATCTATTACTTACTGCCATACTTCTTTATGTATTTTTAATTACTTACGTGAACTTTACCACCACTTCCTGTATGCAATTCAGTTTACTACTTCACTTCCTGAATCAAAAAGCAGTCGAAGGTTGTGTGCTTCATTTTATAACATTAAATGTTTGGGAGTTTTCTGACAATCAATGAATTATTTAGTTGCTTCGTATGAAAGATTCAAAACTGTGCTCGTGTGTTGTTTTTACCATACTTAGGCATGGCGGATAAACGACTAACAAAAGTTTCCTGTAGAGATGTTTTTGAACTCTTCGAGTCATTCATTCATAACTTATTATTTGTAAGTTGGTAATGGATTTGTTATGTTGGTTTTGGAATAAAGTTCACTGAGGTAAATTACAGGAAGCGCTTACACCGAATGTTGTGAAAGTTTTAAAGGAGCTTAAAAGTTATACGGGTAAAGAATCAGTATTATCTATTACTATCTTACTCTTTTCTTCACAATGAAATTTATATTGGATTATATCACAGCTATTCAGCTTTATGCTAAATAGTAGTTCCTTGACTTTAGTACTCGTTACGAAATTGGCGAGGTATTCGTCAAGTATCTCCGGTGGTTAATTAACTCTTTAGTGGTTGCCGTGCTAATTTAGAAACACTTAATAAGTAAGGGTAGATATGAAAATTGATAATCCCAACTGAAATACAATTGCAGTTCTAAATAGTTGAAAGTACAGTTAATAAATATTCATTACAAACATTTTGTGATTATTAGTGGTATATTTATAATTACTCGCTAACTTTTCAAATCAAGATATGCATGGTATCTCCACATTTACATTTTTTTTTCAATTATTATAAAAATTAGATGCAATAATAATAAATAATAAATGATTTACAACATTTTGCAGGAATATATACGAGTAATAAACAAGTAAGGAAGGGCTAAGTTCGGATGTAACATTTTATACTCTCGCAAAGTCAAATGGTATACTCGTTTGAGATTTCTTTGTGGATTGACCGATATTTTCGGTAGAAGGTCAACTTTAGGATCTGTGCATGTTATGTACCGAATTTGGTTGAAGTCGGTTCAGCAGATCCAAAGATATGGGTTTTCACCTAAAAGAGGGCGGTTCCACGCCCACTGACTAATTTTGAACACGGTTCCTATAAAGTCATCTCATACCATCCTAGAGATAAAAGTTAATGTCTCTGACGTGTTTAGTGCTTGATTTATCGCGCTTTTAGTGTTTTTTAACAGTACCGTCATATGGGTAGTGGGCGGGGTTGTCACCCGATTTCACCCATTTCACACTGGAGGTAGAGGTGCTAAAAACATTTGCATCCAGTGAATTTTGTTATTATAGATTTAGCGGTTTAGAAGATATGCACATTAAACCATTAAACCGGAACCACGCCCACTTTAAAAAAAAATGTATACTGCAGTTGCCCCTCTCTAATGTGATCCTGTGTACCAATTAACAGTCTTGTATCTTATTGCGGAGCTTAGTTATGGCAATTTATTTGTTTTTGATTAATGGCGTTTATGGGCGTGGCAGTGATCCGATTATGCCCATCTGCAATACCAACTGTCTTACGGTATCAGAAAACATGTGTACCAAGTTTCATTAAGATATCTCAATTTTTACTCAAGTTACAGCGGACGGAGGGACGGACAGACAGTCGCCCGGTTTAACTCGTCTCTTCATCCTGATCATTTATATATATATAACCCTATATCTAACTCGATTAGTTTTAGGTGATACAAACAACCGTTAGGTGAACAAAACTATTATACTCTGTAGCAACAAGTTGCGAGAGTATAAATAGTAAGCATTGGTTATATTCGGAATAGGTATTACTGTACCGATTCGGGTACAGCGGCCACTTGTGTACTTAGTTTATCCTTGATTTTCCAGATTTTGACAATGAGTCGCAGACGAAGATTTAGCGCTAGTAACAACTTTCTCGACTTAGAAGAGGCCATCAATTGCCATGAAAATTACAGTGATGATGGTTTAGAAAACCCAGTATTGTCACTAAAGAAGAAGAGCAATTTTATGATGATAACGTATTGCCTAACTTGGCGAATGATGTTCTCGGAAATATGGAAGTGTTTGCGCGCGATGAGGGTGTTCTTTCAGATAACAGCAAAGTTGAGCCATTAGTCACCAAGAGAGCTCGAATCAGATTCACCGTACCTCAAGCAGCTCATGACCAATTTACCAACCCAAGTCCGTCAACATCTAACTCTCCTGTCTGGCGTA